GGGTGTCTGTGCGGCAGAGGCGGTGGCGGTGATGTCGGTGGACGTGGGCAGCGAGTCGATGAAGATCGCCATCGTGAAGCCCGGAGTGCCCATGGAGATCGTCCTCAACAAGTGAGCGGCGCGGTTGGGGGGTCGGTATCGGCCGCCGTTGGGCTGGGGCAGCCCAACGGGGTAACGGGGGGCTCCGAGAGAGGCGGCCGAGGATCGGTGACCCTCTCTCGGGGGTCTGGGCCGCACCGAGGGCCTCTTCAGCGAGAAACCGGCCCCTGCGTCATTAAGGGTGTCGTGGGATGGTTTGGGTAGAAGGGACCCCTCGCCAAAGCCCCCTCCAGCCTGGCCTTGAACCCCTCCAGGGATGGGGCAGCCACAGCTTCTCGGGTCGGCCTGGGCCAGGCTCTCACCACCCTCACACCAAAGTTCTTCTCCAGATCTCACCTCAATCTCCTCTCTTTCAGTGTCAAACCCTTCCCGCCGTCCCATGGCTCCCCTCCCTGACCCAGAGTCCCTCCCCATCTCTCCTGGAGCCCCTTGAGGGACTGGAAGGGGCTCTAAGGTCTCCCCGGAACCTTCTCTTCTCCCGGCTGGACCCCCCCAACTCTCTCAGCCTGTCCCCACAGCAGAGGAGCTCCAGCCCTCTCAGCATCTCCATGGCCTCCTCTGGCCCCGCTCCAACAGCTCCATGTCCTTCTGCTGTTGGTGGCCCCAGAGCTGGAGGTAGCACTGCAGGGGGGTCTCCCCACAGCAGAGCAGAGGGGCTGATGTGGTTCAGATGTGACAGGATGTGGCATCGTGTTCTCACCTGTCTGGTTAGGAAGGAAGCCTGATTCTCAGTTCTCTTTGAGGGATCCCGGAAGCAGGTTTGTTAGGCAGCAGCTCGTTGTTGAAGCAGATAAAGGTCTCCTTTCACTTGGCTGCTGTCACTGCAGCCCATGCCCAAGACCCTGAATGAAAAACCGGCGGCTGGGAGAGGATGTACGGTCAGGAGCATGCTTGTTTTCTGGGAGTCTAGACTGAGAGATAATAGATGGATTTTTCACCCGGCTGCCTGGAACTTGGCAGTCGTTGGTAGAACGAGGGAACTGTCTCGCTTTGCTCCGTGCTGAAGGGAAGCAAAAATAAAGCAAGTTTTGTCTAAGTCTGAAGCAGCATGTTCCAGAAAGCTGCTCACGAGCCTTTCTCCTTCGTGGCAAGTCATTGTGTTGTAGCCTTATGTTAGAGAACTGATAACGTGTCCTGAGGCTTTTGGAATTTCACTGAATTTCACTGAATTTCTAGAGTTGGAAGGGACCATAGAGATCATCTAGTCCAACTCCCGTGCATGTGGCACGTGCTGAGCTCAGTAGATGACTTTAGGGGCTTCTTGTGGTTATCGTAGCGAAATGCCTTGCTATGTGAATGTGTGCGTGGGGGCAGAAATGGGCCACCTCTTGTGGAGCTCTCTTGTGTCATGGGAAAAATAGAGGTCTGCCCAGCACAGCCTCGAAAGGAGGTGCTGCTGTTGCCACCTGTCAGAGTCTGGTCGTCCTCTCCGTGGGTCACACCCCAGCACCTTCCCTTCGTCCTTCTGAAATGCAGACACTGCCCTTCCTCATGGGGACTCTATCGAGCGTTCACCTCTTTCGACTGGTTTATTCCTCTCTTTCTGTGCAGGGAGTCACGAAGGAAAACACCCGTGGCCGTGTCTTTGAAGGAGAACGAGCGTCTCTTCGGTGACAGTGCGCTGGGGATGGTAAGAGTTCCTGTTACTCCTCGCTCCAGCTGCAGTTCCTGTGTGTGGAATGTGTGCTCCCACTGCTGGGTCCTTTGTGATAAATGTCTGAGTGAGGAAGTTCTATTTCTTGTCCTGTACTTCTCATCTCCTTGGCGTGGTACTGGCTCTTTGTGTCTCAGTCTCATGCTCCTGAATCCCATAATGAGAGCTCTTCACCACGTGGCTCGGGAGAGGCTGGTTTGACAGCAGCAAAGCCAAAGAAGTGCAGCTGGGTGCTGTGCTTTATTTTCTGCAGTCCATAAGGACCCCCAAGGTGGCCTTCAGGTATTTCCAGGATCTGCTGGGGAAGCGTATGGATAACCCCCACGTCGCACTCTACCAGTCCCGCTTCCCGGAGCACGAACTGGTGAAGGATGAGAAAAGGCAGACCGTTATCTTCAAGCTGTCCCAGTGAGTGGCTGCTTCTGGGTCCCTTCTGGGTGGGACTTTGGCTACCAGCTCTGGTTGTTGCTGTAATTTTCTCTCCTGCCTGTTTCTCGTAGGACGATACAGTACTCTCCGGAGGAGATGCTGGGGATGGTGCTGAACTATTCGCGTGGGCTGGCTGAGGAGTTTGCAGGTTGGAAGAATTTACCAGTTTCTCATGGTATCTGTGTGCGTGTTTGTATACTATGGGATTTGAGTAGAGTCTGAAGGTGTTTGAAAGCCCAGGGATGTTTAGAAACAGGCCGTTGGTTCCCTTCAGAGAGTACTTCAGGCTGTATGCAGGACTTAGCAGCTGTCAAGTCGTCACTTGTTTCTAATACAATGCAAGTTTGGGGTCTTAATCCCGTTCTTGGGGGCAGGCACCCCCAATCCCACCCAGCCTTGCAGTGAGGAAGCCTTTTTGGCCATCTCTGGAGAAAGAGTGATGTGTTTTGTCACTTGTGTGTGTGAGTGGAGCAGAGGAACATTGGGAGGGAACTGCTGGGGAAGGTGGAGGTGTCTCTGCTGCAGTCTGTGTTGGAATTGGTCTGGATGGAGCCAAACAACATGAAAGAGCAAAAACTGTCCTCCCTTGTGAAACTTGGGAAGAGATAAGGGACTGCCATGCCTTTTCCATGTGGTGTTGCTACTGAAATACCACAGTAATGGGAACTGGGTGAATTTCGTTGCTGTTTGACTTACTGTGTGTTGTTTGGTTAGTAATACTACAGCCAGGCAAAGGCTTTCTGCTCTGGAGAGTGAGCATAATCCAGTGATAAAGTCAGTCTCTCTGAAGATAACGTTTGCTGAAATGTAAGGCACCCCAGAGCATTTGAGAGTGCTCTGACGTGTGAAAGAGAGGTCAGGAGACACGTGGCTTTGTGAGAACCTGCAAAGTCTGCTCAGTGTCAAGAAGACACAGATAGATTCACCCCTAATGATCCTGGCTGCTGATTGCATTCCGTGCGGTCTTTACCTGAGATTCTCTGGCTGCAGTGATGGAAAAACGTGTTCCCTGCACCTCTTCCAGAGCAGCCCATCAAGGACGCGGTGGTCACGGTCCCTGCCTACTTCAACCAGGCAGAGAGGAGGGCGGTGCTGCAGGCCGCCCGCATGGCCGACCTGAAGGTGCTGCAGCTCATCAACGACAACACCGCCGTGGCCCTCAACTACGGGGTGTTCAGGAGGAAGGACATCAACGCCACTGCGCAGGTAGGGGCAGGGGGGTGCAGAGAGCCCCGTGCCAGTGCCTACGTGCGGGGAGAGAGTGCTGTGGATAAAAATCTAAAGGACTTGACTGTGAGGAAGGGGATGCTGCTGGGCAACCAGTGTCCTCTGTTATCGTGTGCTCATCAGCAAGAGGAGCAGGTGAAAACCTCTGTTAATAAGTGGTGAAGCCCGAGAGCTCCTGGAGCGAGGGCAGGTGGCTGGGACCCCCCTTTTGTAAAGTTTCTTCCTTTCCCATCAACTGGGGGGGAATAACGTTAGCGATTGCCTAAGGCGTTGGAAGACTGACTCTGAAATACGTGATTTTCCTGAGGTTGAAGAAGCTTTGAAAGAGCAAATCTTGGTTTTCTGGTCTATGAAATGGATGAAAAAGCTTTCTTGTCCGCCTGTGTCAGGCGTGACCCCGCACACCCCCCGTGTGTGATCAGAGAACGAGTCCTGCTGCTGTGGTGTGAAGCCAGGCGAGGGAGCAGACAGGCTGGGCCTGCGTCAGGCGGGGACATTGGTGGGCTCTTTCCTTACTTGTGGGGGACACCCAGGTGTTTCTGCTTCACCGTCCCAGCTTCTCTTTTCAGAACATCATGTTTTACGACATGGGAGCAGGAAGCACCGTTTGTACTATTGTTACGTATCAGACAGTGAAAACTAAGGACTCGGGAACCCAACCTCAGTTGCAGATCCAGGGCATTGGGTAAGAATTCAACGAGTTGCACAGAACTCACAGGTCTCAGGAAAAGACCGTTTCACAGTCTCTTCTAAAGGTGGGATTTCAGCGCAGTAATTTGGGTGGCAGAGAGGGAAATGTTTGGAGTGAGAAGGCTCCGGTTGGTAATAATTCTGGTGTCACTGTCTTGTGCAGAAGATAACTGAGAGCTTCCAGGAGCCCAGGAGGCCACCAATGTATTTAATTTGCTTCAGGCTTGCTTTTTTTATAGCCTCAAGCCGTTTTAGCTTAATTCCGCTTTCTATAAACTTACAGAAGTAGAGTGTGTCAGTTTGAAAAAGCAGAATATCCTCCCAGAGAGGACTGAAAATGCAGCGCATTGGCTGAATGAGGAGAGGGGTGCTGTCAATCGCCAGCCCAGCAATTTAAATTCCAAAAGATTTCCACTGCTGTATAAAAAAAATACCTGGGACACAAGACGGCCACCCTTTGGCTCCTCAGCCCCTGGCATGCTTGGCAACAAGGCCTTTACCGTAAATATAATGAAGTTTCCTGCTCAAAGGCTGTTGTGGTGGTGAATCTTTCTTTTCTGTGTTTCATTATAATGCATTATTTTTGGAACAGCCATTGCTCTTTCACATTAAATTGCAGCTGATAGTATACTGCATCTGCTTTTGACTGCTTGCTGCTCTGTGTGTTTGTGAAGTAACACATGAAGTTTATTTGATTTCCAACTCTGTTTAAGTTATTACATCTCTGTTTGTTCTTTTGCTCAGGTTTGACCGTACTCTGGGAGGTTTAGAGATGGAGCTGCGTCTCCGGGACTATTTGGCAAAACTCTTCAATGATCAGCACCCTTCCAAAGATGTCCGGAAGAACCCCCGGGCCATGGCCAAACTCCTGAAGGAGGCCAACCGCCTGAAAACCGTCCTGAGCGCCAACGCGGACCACATGGCACAGGTCCGGCCTCTCTCAGGGTCTCCAGCTCCTCTGGGACTCAGCGTGGGTGGGTTAAGGGCAGGCACGTAGGAACGTCTCCCTCTGCAGTGTCAGTGCTGGTGTCTCAGGGGTGCTGGTGGCACTGGTGGTCCCTCAGCTTGTGCCCATTTAGTACCACTGGTGGTTAAGCAAGGGGACTGCGTGGAGTTAGTTGTGTGAGGTTTGGTAAATAACTGTCGGTGGGAGAAGCTGTTTGTTACATCCATGTTCCATTCTCTCACCGCCTGAGCCATGGCAAGATTTGATGAGTGTGGTCAGGTCCTCAGTGCGTGAAGGAAGCTGGAACTTTCTGCACAGTGGGCAAATCAGGCAGAGATTTTGCTCAGAGCACGCTCCATGAGTAATTTCATTCCGGCTGTTTTTTTTCTGGACAGATTGAGGGGCTCCTAGATGACATTGACTTCAAGGCCAAGGTCTCAAGGCAAGAATTTGAGGATTTGTGCTCAGACCTGTTCCGGCGAGTCCCAGGACCAGTGCAGCAGGCTCTGAGCAGCGCAGAGATGACCCTGGTAGGTTTGGGAATGCTTTAACAAGCCTGAAGTCTCTGCATGCAGAGCCGCTGTCATGTCACGATCAGTGGTGGTGTTCAGAGTACAGGCGCCAGCGATCACGACTGAGCGCTGTGGCTGGTGCAGGGAGTTGCTGCTGTTTGAAGCCAGGAGTCCCTCATGGTTCCCTGTGCTGTACACCACAAACAAAGGACTTGGAGGAGGCGTTTCTCTATGTTTAAAAACTTTACTCTCTGGCTGGAGGTTTGAACCCCTGATCTTTCCTGTTGCTTTTTTTTCTTTTTTTGTCTCAGATGCTGGTTCTGGTCTCTCTTCTGAAGTTTAATCTCTGGGAACAGAATTATTGCTGTTCAGGCTTCTCCTCTGAGCGCTCCTGTTGGGGGCTGCAGTTGGACCAAATGCACTGCAGCCCTTGGGAGAGACTCACTGTTTGTTCAGTGCTTGAGTTCCAGGGTGCCAGGACACCCTTGAGCATCTCTTGGCTCTGGTTTTCCATGCAAGGCACTGAGTTACCCCTCAGAGTCCAGATCTCCCTCTCTTCTGGTCCCACTTGCCGTCCCAGTCACCGGCTCCTCGGGCATTAAACTTTAATCTGCCTAATTGTGAACTGAGTCCCACATTTCAGGTGACATGAGGCAATCCTCATGTTGTCCCCATTTGGCAGCCGTGACTCCAGGTTCCCCATGTTGTCAAGGGGGACGGGGGAAGGAGCATAAGGCAGCCCTGAACTTGGCTTTCCTCAGCTGCTTTCTGGACTCAAGGTGACTGTTTCCAATCCCTAGGATGGAATTGACCAGGTGATTCTCGTTGGCGGTGCCACGCGGGTCCCCAAAGTGCAGGAGGTTTTGCTGAAAGCTGTGGGCAAGTGAGTATGTGAGGTCCCCTTCAGTCTGTCTCCTGTTGATGAGTTGATACTGGTGGCAGCAGCCGCAAAGCTGACATTGGTTGATTTTCACTTTTCATAGAGAGGAACTGGGCAAGAACATCAATGCGGATGAGGCTGCTGCCATGGGTGCCGTCTACCAGGCTGCGGCGCTGAGCAAAGCCTTTAAGGTGAAGCCTTTTGTGGTTCGGGACGCCGCCGTGTTTCCCATCCAGGTAACCCTTGGCTTCCTGCCTCATGCAGGGTGTGGGGAGACGGGGCTGTGCTGGAGGAGACGTTCTGGGTGACCCTTGGGCTCCTTTGAGCAAGGAACTTACAGAGATCTCTCTGCTGATCTAAGAAAGCAAGCAGAATAATGTCGGCCCGACTGTAGAAGTGCTGTGCCCAAGAAGCCAGGCCCATAGAAACATCCGTTGGGAAATACGTGCCCACTTCTCCCCGAGGTGGGAGAGGTGCAGAAGCCTGTGAGGGAAGGTGCCACAGCGGGAGTTTGCAGTTGCTGAATCGTGTTTTCCGTTTGTGATGCAGGTGGAGTTCACTCGTGAGGTGGAGGAGGATGATAAATCCAAGAGCTTAAAGCACAACAAGAGGGTTTTGTTCCAGCGCATGGCACCCTACCCCCAGCGCAAAGTTATCACTTTCAACCGCTACACAGACGACTTCGAGTTCTACGTCAACTACGGAGACCTGTCCTTCCTGAGCCAGGACGACCTGCGGTGAGTTGAGGCCAGCGTCTGAGCGGGCGGTCCAGTTTGTCCAGCTGAAAACTTCACTGGTGGCCAGCCGAGGAACCTGCCACCAGTGCATGTTTGTAGATCTGTTCTCAGTCCCGTGTGCCTGAGCAAATGGAACTGTGCTGGTCCCTCGCTCTGTGTGGTTTTCCATCCCTGCTGTGGGAAGGGGTTAGCTCTTCTGCAGCATCGTTCACTTAAGTTTTTGCTCTGCTTTCGTCCCTGTCACCAGGGTCTTTGGTTCTCTCAATCTCACCACTGTGAGGCTGAAGGGAGTCGGGGACAGTTTCAAGAAGCACTCGGATTATGAATCCAAAGGCATCAAAGCTCACTTCAACATGGATGAGAGTGGAGTTCTGAGCCTTGACCGGGTAAGCACCATCCTTCTGGGATGTTTGCATTTTCCAGATCTGCCCCTCTCTCTGGTCCCCACTTAAAACTCAATCTCTGCTCCCCTCTCCCAGGTGGAATCTGTGTTTGAGACCCTGGTGGAAGACAAGCTGGAGGAGGAGTCAACGCTGACAAGTAAATGCTGAACTTCGATATCGGTGTTTTACCCGCGGTAGCTGGGGTGGCTAAAGCAGAACATGGCTTTGAGCAGAGCAAGCCCGTGGGTTTGGGATGTGGACATTAAAGGGTTGGCCATAGCCTCTGATGCAGGTACAGCTCCAGGTACAGCCCTTTGCAAGTGGCTGCCAGGAGCTCTGGAAAGCCAGACGCTCCTAAGATGGCTATGGCGCACACTGCAACTAGAACAACAGGAGCTGTGTCCTCTGTGTTCGGCCACAGCTGCTGATCTGGGGAGGTCTGCCCTGAAGGGAAGTCCTGCATCCACAGCGTTCTCCCTTCTCTGGCCTCAAGTTGTGCCAGGGAAGGTTTAGGATGGATATTAGGGAAAATTTTTACACTGAAAGGGTTATTGGCTGCCCAGGGAAGTGGTTGAGGCACCATCCCTGGAGGTATTCAGAAGATGGGCGGACATAGTGCTTAGAGACGTGGTTTAGTGATGGCTTTTTTCAGAGTTGGGTTGATGGTTGGACTAGATGATCTTAAAGGTCCATTCCATGGACCTATGATTCTGATTCTATGATTCTCGCTTTCTGGATTGTGATGCCTGGTCTGTGCTCTGCAATCCTCAGGTTTTAGAGCATAGGTCCACTCTAGACAGGAGCTGGAAATCTGTATGCTGAGAGGTGAGGGGGAGATGCGGGGATGGGAGATGCAGCCACGGATTGGAGCCTGAAGCTTTTTGGTTGAAGTTCCAACTTTCAGGTCTCATTCCAGCAGTGTTTGTGCACAGAAAAACACAAAGGGAGGTCAGGGAAGGATGAGTTTCCGGAGTGTATTAGCAAACCTCTACCACCACGGGAGCTGCCTGGTGATTGCTGTGGTTGTGAGGGGAAGAACTGAGGGCTGAAGGTGACTTTCTCCCGCCTTTGGGTACATAATATTCTGGATTCTTTGTCTCCCACGGACAGAACTTGGAAACACCATCTCGAGCCTGTTTGGGGGCGGTGGCCCCAAGGCAGAAACGGGAGAGAACCTGACAGACTCGGTCCAGGTGAGCCCCGGGGTGTCTGCGAGCGGGAGGGAGCCCCACATCTTGCTCCAGTGCTGACGGGCAGCGGTTCACATGAGCAGAACTGGAGGTGTCTGGCACCACATCAGAATTTCAAATATTTCCAGACACTGCTATATTCCTCTGGAGTTTCATGTGGCGTGTGTTTAGAGAAACTTGTGCTCTGTCACTGGCAAGTCCAGCAGTGGTGGACTAATGTTCCAGGACTCTTCATTATTCTAGCTCAGCACAGTCCCTCGCTAACGGCTGCAGTCACTGTGACTGCTGGTTTTTGTACATATGGGTTTTTTGCACAGAATTATCTGTTCTGTGAAACATTTGTACAGTATTTCTCCATGAAAAACAGTTTTGTTTTTTGCTTTGCTTGGCTGCGGGGAGCAGGAGGAAGAAGAGAGCCTGGCAGAACCAGGTAAAGAGGAGCAGGGGGAGAAACAAGAGCAGAAAAGCAGCACCGAAGATGAAGAGCGAGGAGAAGAGAAGCAGCAGTCTGCGGGCCAGGCAGAAACTGCCCCTCCGAAAGGAGACTCCCAGAAAAAGGAAGAAGGCAAGAAGTCAGAGTCTCAGGTGAGCATTAGGTTGAAGGAATGGAACTGGGATTTCAGTGCAATTTCCTTGGTTCCATTCTTCTTTCCCTTCTTTTCCCTGAAAAAAAAAAAAAGTTGCAAAATGTGCAAATCCATTCCCTTGCCTAAGATTTATTTTACCTGTTCCAGGATCCCAAAGAAAACAGAGAAACTGCAAAAGAAGAAGAATCGTCCAAAAGTTCCAGTGACAGCACAGCTACCAAAACGGAGGAAGAGAAGAAGATCAAAGTGCCCAAGAAGCAGAAGCTTGTTCATGAGATCACCATGGAGCTGGATGTAAACGATGTCCCTGACCTATTGGAGGAGGAACTGAAGAGCTCCATGAAAAAGTACGTTTGAAACGGCTCTGGTCAAAGCTCTCGATGGAGGAAATGAATGGCTGTGGAGCAGTGATAGCTGCCGTGGTGCTGCTCTCCTCGGAGGCTGATGTGTACAGTGTTGTGCACGTCTAAAGGCACTTACTACCTTTGATTTCTCTTCTCTTTCCCTCTTAGACTCCAAGACCTGACAGTCAGAGATCTAGAGAAACAGGAAAGAGAAAAATCAGCCAACAGCTTGGAGTCATTCATCTTTGAGACCCAGGTGAGAGAGGGATGTGAAGAAATGAGAATTCCAGGTAGAAGTGTCTTATGCAGCTTGGCTGATCTGAATGCGGGGGAGTGGTTTGAGTGGGGGGAAGCTGGTTTGAAGAGCCCAGCTTTCATCTTTCAGTCACTTTTTCTGCTGTCGCTAGACCTCCCAAGCCCACATGGAGAGCTTTCCTCCAGGGCGTCTCACACGTTAAACTCTGGGTTTCTAGTATTCCTTAGTGCACTTACCCCTGTGTTTTGGAACAGTTGGGCTGTGAAGACCCTACAGCTTCTCAGGAACTTGTGCAGAGGCGGCAAATGATGTTACACCACAAAAAGCATGTGTGAAAGCAGTGTGGTTGGTGCAGCTTTACCATCAGATACTGGGTGTATCACCATCGCACTCCTGGTGATGCCAGGAGTCAGAGCCCAGGTCTGGGAGGGTTGAAAGAGAATCTTCTGGGGCCAGTGCATCCCCAGGAGCTCCCAGTCCAGCCCAGTTGCAAGTGGGTGGCCCAGTTGTTTGATACTTCCAGTGGTAGCTGATGGGAGTGCTTGCTTTGTTCTCTCCAGGACAAGCTTTATCAGGAGGAGTATCAGTTTGTCTCAACAGAGGAGCAGAGAGAAGAAATTTCCAAAAAGCTCAGTGAGGCCTCCAGTTGGATGGAGGAGGAGGGCTACGCAGCTGCGACGAAGGTATCTGCACAGGGTTGGGACACTGGTCACTGGCGTGGGAGGGAGCACGTGGGCTGAGAGAGCATTGATCCCTCTTGATCCCTCAAAATCTGATTCTTGGAAGTTTTTTACTTCCTCAGTGCATTACGCACAGAACAAAATGGGAAGTTCTTCCAACCTCTTCACCATCTTCAGCAGGAACCTCTTGAGTTCACCTGCCTCTTTTTACTCTATTGAAATAGGATATTTGATAGAATGACAAAAACTGCAGTTCTGAGGTTTACAGTGTTAGACAGTGGGAAAGCTAACCATCTCCTTTCCCCTCTCCTTCATTTGCAGGAGCTGAAAGACAAGCTTTCGGAACTGAAAAAGCTTTGTAGGAACCTCTTCTTCCGTGTGGAGGAAAGGAGAAAGTGGCCAGAACGCTTGGCTGCCCTGGAGAGTCTGCTCAACCACTCGACCATCTTTCTCAAGTAAGAGGGAGCTGCTGGGGCGGAGGGTCAGGCAGATGATGGTGTCACAGATGCCACAGAACGGGGCCAGACCCAACATGGGCTGAAAGTCACTGGTGCTTCTTGAAAAGAGCCCAAAACCCTGCTCAGTTCTGCTGAGCCCATTAATAGAAGCTTTGTTTAAACTGCGGGGGCAGGAACTGTCCCACACTGGACCCAACACTTAGAAGCCTTGTTTTTTTTCAATCTTCCCCATTTTTTCTAATCTCATCATAGCTGCATTTGCTGCTCTGTGTTCCGTCCTCAGTACCCAGAGATTTGATTTAGGGCTCTGTTTCCTTAAGATGCAAGAGATGTAACTGTAAAATGGTTGGCATGTGCAGTGGCCAGTAATTGTTATGATTGCAGGAGCCGTAAACACGGGAGTTGCCAGGGCACAATCTGTGTGGTTTGGTGGAAATAAATTTTCTCTTTATCTTTCAGGGGCGCCCGAATGATTCCAGAGTCTGACCAGATATTCACAGAAGTGGAACTGAGTACACTGGAAAAAGCCATCAATGAGACAACGGTAATAACGGGTCAAACGATTCGGGGGGTGGGGGCCGGGGGGGCCCTTTGGGTTGTGTTTCCTGCCCAAAGGAATAGGTCATGTTCTTTCACTCAGGGTTGTGGAACAGGGTGTGCTTGTCTTGTTTCTGTGGCCCCTGCAAACCATATTTCAGTGTTTTCTAATGCCCAGCTCGACCCCAGGCTGCTTTGGGGGGATAACAGTTCTTGTGTTGCACGTGAGAGGTTGTCTCTGGGAGTGTTGGGGTAGCCCAGGAGCCTGGCTGCAGCTTCCGAAAGCAGAGGCTGGGTTTTGAGGGCTCCGTTCCTTCAGTTTGCCCTGTGTCTGGGTAGTTCAGGAGCTGCTGGAAATGCGTTGGGAAGCAGTGTTACCCTGAGTACGGTGATGGGGAGAGGCTGTGACGTACAGTGGTTCCTGGAACCAAAAATCATCCAGAAAGCACCTCTTACCTCCTGTCCCACAGACCTGGAAAAATGAGACACTGGCTGAGCAGAACAAGCTCTCTCCTACGGAGAAACCCATCCTGCTCTCCAAGGACATAGAGCTCAAGATGGCAGCCCTGGACAGGGAAGTGCAGTATCTTCTGAATAAGGCCAAGTTTGCCAAACCCAAGCCCAAAAAGGAGAAGAACACCACAAAACCGGAGTCGGGCAAGAATGGTACAGCCACCTCTGAGACCGAGAACACTATCCCTCCCACGGAGGGGAAACAGGAAGGTAAGGAGTGGGTGGGGAGCGTGTATTTAACTCCTGGTGTATAATTACCATGTGTAACACTCGCGTCTCCCTGCTTTGGGTGAAAGGGAGAAAAATAAGCAAGGACAATAGTTAACTGCAGGATCATGTGATCCTCCTCTTAGTTTTCAGAAACAGCTGGGACAATCCAGGTATGGTGATGTCCTCTTCCCCCAGCATTTGTTTGGGTTTTTTCTGTGAGGGAAGGGGAGGTGTTTACAAACTCCCCGGGGTGGTTGGTCAGTGTCGCTCTGGGCCACTGGCTGTCCCCTAAGGCAGAGAAACCATCCGTTCCCTTCTGGGTGTCCACAGCAAGTGTTCAAGGTCGTGTCCTGTGTCAAGGAACAGAGTGAGCTGTTGATGAGAAAGGTTTGTGGCTTAGATGGGCTCCAGGAAAAATATAAAAACTTTCTTGGGGCACCAAGACTTGGAGTTTTCTGAACTTTTTAAAGATCCTCAGGTTCTGAGCGCCCTGGTCCTTTTAAATCTGCTGTTTGTCAGCAGAGTTCCCTGCTGGTTCCCCTGGCCTGAGAGAGAGCTGCTGCTTGTGGTCACGGCTCCAAAGATGACTTGTCTGTGCAAGCAGTGAGTCTCTGGGGCTTCAGGGATGTAGCGCCTGGCAGAGGGAGGCAGTGAGAAATAAGGAGCAGTTCCGCGGTGCTTCTCTGGGTGTGAGAGAGCCACAGAGAGTCACTGCAGCCCCGCTGAGGCACCACGGCTGGCGTGGTCACAAACCTCACCCTTGCCTCATCTCCTCTGTGTTCTCCCAAAACTCTTGTGCTGTTTCTTTTCTTTCTGCTTTAAACAGGCAAACCCGAGGACGTCGGTCCAGTCAAGGAACCTCCTACAGCTGAGAAGGCAGCAACAGGTGATGAGCCTGGATCAGACTCTGGTGAGTAAAGGTTTGACTAATGGTCTGGAACATGGTTGCTGCGAGTGCTGGTTGTCCCAGAGCTGCTCTCCATGGCTGTGGCTGTGGGAGGCACGAGGACGGTAGAAGCCCTGATTGCAAAGAAATTGTTAATTCTGCAAAGAGGAACACACAAATCTGGGTTCCCCGCAGTTCCAACGTTTTCACTGTTCAGTGTCAAGTTAAAATGTGCCCCTGCCTCGGTCGCTGTGAGCTGTGGCCTGTGCGTAGGCGTCATCCCGGCTTCATTAAGGGGCTGATGAGCAGGTTTATTCTGCCCAATGGTGAGGGCAGCAGCGTCCTCAGCCCTTGGGAGCCGAGTACGAGCCCTCGGACCATCCCCTGATCCCTCTACCATAGTGGGGGAGTTTGGTGAAATACCGAACAAACATCGGGGGTTTGGCCCTGCTTTTTGTGCTGTAAAACCTGCCCCAGCCTGTAATGGCTTTTCCTTTGTTACACAGGGTCCCAAAAAGAGAAGACGACAGAAGCTGGAGGAGAAAACAGGAAAAACGATGAGTTATAACAGCCCTGGAATCCCACTAGTGTCAACATCTATTTATTTCATGGTTACATTCTTGTTTTTATGATGGACCGGGTTAGTCACGGTGTACCTGGAACGCAGCAGCCTGGCAGCACAATGGGATAGAGATGTACATTTTATTTTTTCTTTCGGAGGATTTTGCCGCTACTAACTTAGTGAATTGGGTTTTGTTTTGGTTTGGTTTTTTTACGTGTTTAAGCGTGGGGGCGTGCCCACCCAGAACCGTCTCCATTTCCTTACCCCCGTGACTTTGAACCATCTCCAGCTTTCAGGGGTCACTCGGGAGTGTGGACCCCTTCCGTGCCCCTGCCGGGGGGTCCATGGAGGTGGTGTCTCTGCCAAGGGGGGGGGATGGGGATGGTGGGATGGGAGGGGGTCAGTGTCCCTTCCCCACACCCTGGGGTTGGGGCGTCTCTCCCCCAGGGAGCCCCCAATCCCTTGATAAAACGATGGCGTTTTTTGTTCGCGGTGAGATAAAAGCTGGGCCAGGGCTGGGACGAGCGAGGGGGTGGGAGGGGCCGTCCCGGGGGCCGAGCCCGGGGCAAATCAATCATAATTCTCCTCCGTCCGCCGCCGCCGGTCCCCGTGCCCCTGACGCTGTTCCCCACCGGGCTCTCTCCCACCCCCAATAAAGGTGACACTTCCGGGCGTTGGACGGTTCTTCCGGGAAGTGCCGGGGGGCGGGGCGCGGCGCCTGGCAACCAATGGGGGGCGGTGGGCGGGACTTCCGGGCGGGGCGGTGGGGACCGGGGCAGCGGCTGGAGCCGGGGGCGGCCGCTGGTCCCGTCCCGTCCCGTCCCCTCGCCTCCCCGGTGTCGCCGCCCGCCGGGGACCGGGCTTCGGCCGCCTCGTCCGGACCCGTCGGAGGAGGAGCGCGGCGGGATGGCGGCCGGCGGGTACGGCCGGTACCGGGCCGTGATCTTTGCGGCCATGTTCGTGGGGTACACGCTCTACTACTTCAACCGCAAAACCTTCTCCTTCGTCATGCCCGCCGTCATGGCCGAGGTGCCGTTGGGCAAGGACGAGCTGGGTGAGTGCCGGGACCCGCTCCCCGGGTCCCCCCCGCCTCCCCTGGGGCTGCCGGTACCGGGCCGGTGGCCGTGCCGCCCGGCTGAGGCGCCCCGGGGGCTCTGCCCGCCGCAGGTCTCATCACCAGCAGCCAGTCCGCGGCCTACGCCATCAGCAAGTTCATCAGCGGCGTCCTCTCGGACCAGCTGAGCGCCCGCTGGCTCTTCTCCTCTGGGCTGCTGATGGTGGGGCTGGTCAACGTGGGCTTCTCCTGCAGCTCCACCGTCGCCGCCTTCGCCGGGCTGTGGTTCCTCAACGGCCTGGCGCAGGGGCTGGGCTGGCCGCCCTGCGGGAAGGTGCTGCGGAAGGTGAGTTCGCTGGGAAAGGCGAGGGGAACGTCCCACCGCTCCTCTCTGCTCCCCGCGGGAGAAACTTGCCCCGAACTCGGAGGAATTTGCACCTATTCCTGCCTCTTTTGAGGTCAAACCCACCAGTTGGGCTTTCCTCTGCCTGCGGAGCGAGTTTCCCTGCACGAGGTTCTGCTTGTTCTAGCAAAGATTGAAAAGTTTATCAGCCTTTGCCGGGCCTCGATTCGAGCTCGGTTTGATAAGAGATGTTTTTGGTAGAGCAAACCTTCTGCCCCGTAAGAGTCATCTTTTGGTGGAATCTGGTATTTTGAGCGTGCGACGCTCTGCCCGTCTTGCCGCCGTGGCGGTGGTTGCTGCCGGGCAAGGGGCAACGAGCAGAATTCCATCTGCATGCTGGAGAAACTCGGGAACTGCAAATTGTGGGCTGTTCAGGTAGAAAATTGGGCGACATACAGCAGAACAGCACGAGTCGAGCCTCTCGGTCTGAGCTGCTGCATCTGGGGTTTGTGGCAGCCTGAATGGAACAGGTTGATTTCTGCCCAAGGGTGGAAGGGCAGGAGGGAGCTGCCTGCTGACCTCTCCAGGAGGATGTAAAACCCCAGAACACAAGTCCTTGTAGGACAAGGAGAGACAAACAACTGTGTTGCCCTTTGGTGAGGCGTCTGGCTGGGGAGGGAAGGGCTGCCCGGGATGGTTCTGTGCTCAGAAAGGTGTTTTTGAGTGATGGGCGCAGCACATGCAATGTTTTCTGAAGCCGAATGCAGCCCTGGGGGGGGTTTCCTGCCGATAACCACCATGCCGGGGGCTCCAGCCCGAGTGCAGGGGGCAAGGCAGAGCCCGTTGTGCCCAATACTTAATGTGACAGCAAGTCCTAAAGTTAGTCCATGCCTCCTGCCCGTCCCGCGGTGCGGTGCCAGCAGAGCTTTCCAGGAGGACGCTGCTCCCAGCAAGTGAGTACGCGGAACCGCGCTCTCTTAGTCACCTCTCCTGTCCCATGGCTCGGTTTCAGCGTCTCTAAATGGAAACGACCCCGAGCTGGTTTGCAGCGTGAGTGCCCGTCCAGCTCCCTTGGCTGGCACTCACCTGACGTTTGGGGTTCCCTGCCAGACTGAGGTAGCAGGGAGTGGGTGCTCCCTCTGTCAGCTTTTGTAGATTTGGGTTAGAATTGCCCCAAACCCACAGCGTGGGCCATGAGTGAGGAATTCCAGGTGGAATGTTGCTCTTGTCTCAAACCTCATACCCTTTTCCTTCTTGTTGCGCAGTGGTTTGAGCCCTCTCAGTTTGGGACCTGGTGGGCGATCCTGTCCACGAGCATGAACTTGGCCGGAGGCTTGGGCCCCATCGTTGCTGCTCTCGTCTCTCTGCACTACGACTGGCGCATGACGCTGTCCTTCTCCGGCCTCATCTGCGTCGTCGTCTCTTTTGTTTGCCTTCTCCTCATTAAGAACGAGCCGTCAGACGTTGGGCTGCCCAACATCGACCAAGGAGCCAAGAAAGGGAAGAAAGGTGAGCACGGGGCTGCACTGTGAGCGGCAGCGCGGGGGACAGGGCGGTGCCTTCTCCGTGTTGTGGCACAAATGCATCGCTTTCGGTGTGCCGAGACCTCCATCCCTCCCGCCTCCCCAAACCACTATGATATGTGAGGGGTTGTTTTTGGCAGCTTTATTCTGGTAACTGTGGAGGCTGCTGCGTTCGTTATAACTCCTGGAAACCAAGCCCCAGCATAACCTCGTGGGAAGGGGCCGGTGTCCAGGTTCCTGAGGCCATCACAGCAAAGTGCAGCAGCAGAGGAAGAGCCCGGCCCACATCAGTTCTGTTGGTGACCTCGTGTGCGTCACTGAGGCGCTTGTGGCTGGCTTTTTCATCTCTCCGTCATTTCTCCATCTGCGTAATGTGTTCCTAACGGTGCCCTTGTTTTCTCAGAGCTTTATTTGCTCAGACGGTGAACGAGTCTCCCAGGTAATGCTGGAGAGAGAGGAAAAACACAGCAGCAGGGAACGCTTCCTTGAGCCCGACCTTCCTCTCCTCCCCGTTAGCAGGGGACAGGCAGTTCTCCCCTCACCCCGCCGTGGCTTCTCGTGACCCCTGGCAGGCGGTGGACTCTGCTCGGTGTTTTCTGCCCCAGCTCAGAACATCTCGTTAGTAAATGTTTGTTCAGGCCACTGAGCTGGTGCTGCTCTGACAGCGGAACAAGTAGAGGGGATTGCAACAGAGGTTTGCTGTGGGGTTTCAAAGGAAGCTCAGCCCACCTTTCACACCATCCCGTGGTGCCCACGCTGCTGGGCTGGACCTCGTTGTGCGCAGACCCCAACGCTGCTTCCCCAGAGGGTCTCTGGGGAGGATGGGTTTGGAGGCGTTCTGGGACGGCCGATGTGAAAACAAAGGTATCACCTGAACATCAGCATCTGTGTTTGGGTCTGTGCAGTAGCTCCCACAGGCAGAGCTCAAAAGCGTTACCGTGAATACGGAGAAGCAGCTCCTTTTTCTAACAGCCTTTGCAAAGGGTTTATTGGCAACCACAATACAGAGGGTTACCGGGAGTAGTGCTTTGATTGTTCTTTTTGAAATCTGTAATGAGTGTGGAATAAATTGACAGAAAAGATTCTGAAATTGCAGCAAACCCAGAACAAGGGAATGGGGAAGTAGAGCCAGTCACTCCCAGTAACTCTGAGTATCTCCTCTGTAAGGATGTCCTTGTGTGTGAATCCTGCTTTCAGCGTGTCCGTGGTGCTGCTGTTGTTCAGTATCTGAGTTCAGGCACTAATAACATTCTTATTCATCTTCCCAACAGGCTCCACCAGTGACAACAGCACTTTGACAGAGCTGCTGCTCTCCCCATACCTCTGGGTGCTCTCAACGGGCTACCTGGTGGTTTTCGGAGTGAAAACATGCTGTACCGACTGGGGACAGCTCTTCCTCATCCAGGAGAGGGGACAATCCATGCTTGTGGGTAAGATGCAAAGCTGTGCTCGACTGGGTACAGCACAAGGACAGGGGCACCTCCGTCTGAGGGACTTTGCTTGCCTCCTGCCTGTCTGTTCAGATACACGTAGTTACTGAACCGACTAGCTGCCACAGTCACTGTCTGCCCCGGTGCCTTCTTGTGCCAGGGGCCTCCTGGACCGGGATGAGCCACAGGGTCTTCTCCATCGGAGCCGCTCGGGGGGAGCTGACAGCAGTTGAGTGTGGTCTAAAGCATGTTGTGACCGAACCTGACAACCTCTTCTTTGCTTCACCTGCATTCCAGGTAGTTCCTACATGAGCGCCCTGGAGATCGGGGGCCTGGTGGGAAGCATCGCTGCCGGGTACCTTTCCGACCGAGCAGTAGCGAGAGTAAGTGATCCAGGCCTTCTGCCGTGCTGGGCAGTTGACACGGCGTCAATTTGAGCCACTTCTGAATTTCTACATTTGCTTTTGGCTTCCTTTGTGAATGTGCTGGGAAAGGTGTGCCGATGTTAGGGATCACGATATGCCTCTCAGCTGGATTTGTCAGCTTTGCTGTGCTGAAAGAGATCTGGTTGTCAACACTTGTCTTCTGCCTGAAAAAAAAACCCCACGTTAAAACCTAGTGGTGGGTTCTGAAGGCAAATTCAGGGTGGAAATAGGGCGCTGTTGATAACAGAAGCATCATTCGTCACTAGGAGCTGCTCGTTTAGCACAGTTTGACTGCGGGCAGCCCTTACACCAAACCAAGAGGCTTTGCTAAAAGCCATGCCGTGTTTCCAACTGGGCTGTGTGGACGGTGTTAGTTGCTCCCAGCATAAAATGGGAGCTCCTGACCCTTGGTTTCCCTTCCCGCGTTACAGGTGGGTCTGTCGAGCTATGGGAACCCTCGGCACACGCTGCTGCTCTCCATGATGGCCGGGATGTGTGTGTCCATGTTCCTCTTCCGTGTCACGGTGACGGGCGACTCTCCCAAGGTAACATTGCTGGGAGCTGTAGGGACGGCCCTTTAGCAGTGAGGAGTGTGATGGTAGGGAGGGTGGCTGTTTCCTTCGCCTTTCCCAAGAGCTGTAGGTTTGGATTCCCTTTGTTTGTGCTGCAGAGAAGCCGAGTCTGGTGTGGGCTGTCGCTGCCACCTCCACTGGCTCAGGCAGCCGTAGCATAGGAGTGACTTGCTTCTGCCCGAATGATTGCTGAATAAATGAAACCTCTTTTCTCCTTTTCCTTTTTTTCTTCTTCAGGAAAATCACTTCTGGACTATAGCCTTGCAACCTCTAGCTGATCTTACAGGCCTAAAAGAACATGAGGTTTCTGCCTTGCCTTTTTTTTCTCTCTCTGCCTGTTTCTGCTTTCACTGATCTGCCCTTCCCCTCTCCTGGGAGGCTGGTAGCACCCCAGAACTTAGAACCAGGGCTTTGAGAAGATTACTGTAAGTTTTGTAAAAGAAACCTTTTCTTCTCATCATTTGATCACACTGACTGACTTGAAAAGCCTGAATATAAAATGTTTAAGTTCTAGTGTAGAAGGTTCTGAGGATGTTTGTTCATCAGGTAAAATGCAGTTGGTTCAGGGGTCTCATGAGTGAGGTCAGGAGGAATGAGGCTGTTCCTGCTTAACTCTGGCAAGTGGTTTCCTAATTCTTTGTGTTTGTTGCCTTCTGGAAAATGAGATGGCACCTACTTCTTTCTGGGCATCCTGAAATGGTGTTTATTGGTCAAAAAGCCTGCTGCAATCCTGAGATGGTCGTATTCCCTGTCCTTTGTTGTCCTTTCACAAGCAACTGACAAATTCTGAATCCGGGAGATTTCTCAGAGCATAAAGTAATGCTGACGTTCAGGCTGTTGGGTCTTGTTGGATGTGTTTGTGTGTGTTTGGTCACACAGATCTGATAGTGGCTGCTCACAAATAACAATGCTCTGATCGGCCGCTTGTATCCAAAACGAGAACCACTTTTAGTCAGAGTCTCCAGGATCATTTTTACAAGGGCCTGGATTCACAGCACTCTCCTGCGATTTCACAGGCTCGTTGCCCATTTCTTGTGGAAGTTCTGGTTCTTTCTAGCCACTGGCTCGTTGCCCATTTCTTGTGGAAATGGGTTCTTTCTAGCAAAGCAGCACGTACCGTGTGTGCAGAGGACAGAACACAGGAGAGAGGAGGGCTTGCGCTGGTCGATGGGAGGGTGCGGTGGAGCTGGGCTGTGTCTGAGCTCTGCCCTCAGCCTGAAAATGTCACAACCCCGCGCATGGGGCCCGAGATCTGTCAGCAGCTGCTGACTGACGGGGGTGAGGTGCCCAGATCCCCTTTCTGACCCGATCTCGTTTCGACAGCTGTGGATCCTGACGCTGGGAGCCGTGTTTGGGTTCTCCTCCTATGGGCCTATCGCCCTCTTTGGGGTTATTGCCAACGAAAGTGCCCCCGCCAACCTCTGCGGCACCTCCCACGCCATAGTGGCCCTCATGGCCAACGGTGAGTACTGCCCTTTTCGCCCAAAACCACAAAAAGAACCTGGGTGTGCTCTGGATGAAGCGTGGTCTGGCCCCTGGGTAGTGGGAGGGTACCAAGGAGCAGAGGGAGTAGAGCTGGGAGCCTCAGGGAAGCTTCCTGCTGCCCCTGATGGGTTTTTGCTTGTGCTTTAAGTTCAAACCAGGAATTTTTATGCACGTAAAAGGAAGTACTAGCAGATAAAATTAAGACATTTTAGCGTTGCTATTTTTCTGTTTGTTTTTCCTTGCAGTGGGGGGCTTTCTGGCCGGGCTGCCCTTCAGCACCATCGCCAAGCACTACAGCTGGGCCACTGCCTTCTGGGTGGCCGAAATCACCTGCACCGCCAGCACCGTGGCTTTCTTCCTCCTGCGGAACATCCGCACCAAGATGGGCCGGGTCCCCAAGAAGGCCGACTGAGGACGAGCTGCATGGCGACGGGGATGCTCCCGCACCGACGTGAGCGCAGCCCGTGTCGGGTTTAATAGGAGTGAGTTACCTATTGCTGCAACCTCGATAAAAGTCTCTCAGTGTCTCACCCACTGTCACGTGCCCCAGGGCACATCCCGCTACCCGTCACTTTTTTTTTTTTTTTTTTTTCCCTCAAAATGTGATAATTCAGCTCATTTACAGCTGCGATGATTTCACTGTACCTCCTCCTCACAGCACTGTTGGTGAAGCGAGCGGGCTCCGTGGCTTCTCCACTGAACGTGCTCTGAAAGGACCAGCTCCAGCCACCATCACCTTTTCTTCTGTCCTGACTGTTCCTCTTGCCCATTAATTACCAGTTCAGCCCCATTTTCCAGGGGTGCTGCAGCAAGCATCCACCCCATCCCTATGCTCCCAGCCCCACGACAGTGGCAGAGCAGCGAGCGATGATGATGGTGGTGGTTTGGCCTCGCAGTCGATTTGAACGGTGCGGCTGTAGTGTTGCCTGGTCTCGGCTGTGGGGAGGAAGGGGAGGGGGGTGCGGGGGCCGTGGCAGCGCTTAGGAATAGGCAGGTTTCCAAGAAATTCTTGGAATCTCGGGGGCAAGTGTTTAGAGAAGCTCCGTCTGCCGAGCCCGTCCTGCCCGCTGCGCTCTCCGCACGCGCCGTTAATGATTAGCGAGGGAGGCAGCTGCTCATGGGGAACGAGCCGGAAAACTGAGCCGGCAGCAGGCATCGCAACAGCCACTGGGTTTCCTGAAAACCCCCGTTTCTGGCATAGGCTTTTGATTTTTTCAGTACAGTCTGGGATGTTTTTGGTTGAGCTGCGTCTCTCAGGGCTGTGGGGAGGGAACTGGCTACCTCTGAGCGGAGCCCCCACTGAGAGCCAGGCCCAGTGCTCTCTGCAATAACTACACTCAGGTTTTTAACTGGAATTTTGTTGAATATTCTTGTTTTTCCCCAAAAGGATATACTGCTTTAGGGTCGCGGAATAGGCAAGTTCAGCTCGTGAAGAATCTGCACACGGGTGCTTTGCTGAACAGCTCGGTTGCAAGAGTAGGTAGCCAGCCTTAATTGAAGCAATGGAAGTGAATTACATTTTGTACTTAATTCTATGATCTTCTACTATCTGTGAAATAAAAACGGAGCAGTGTCACGTGGGCTGTGGTTGTCTCACGGGGAACGGTGTGAGCAGAAGCCCCCAAACCCACTCCTTGTCCTCCTGAGGAGTTACTGGTGCAAATCTGCCCCAGCAGCAGCAAACAAGCAGCCATCCACCTCCTCAGGGAATGTTTATTATTCCTACACAGAAAACCCCCTGCAGAACCATAAGTTAGAGCTATACAGGAAAAATACATATGTACAAACAGGAGAGGAAAGAAGAGAGTCAGCTGCAGTGAGGCCACGGACCCGCGCCCTGTCTGTCCTCAGCCAGGGGCAGCAGAACAAGCCTCTGTAGCCCAATGTAAACAGGAACCAGTCTGTTTAAGGTAAATTTCACAACAAAGGGGAGCAGCTGGGATCTTGGGAGGTAACGCAGTGTGTTTTGTGGATACGCAGTCTCTGCTGTGGAGGGGAGAGCTCCGGGAGAGGCCAGCCGGGGAGGAGAGAGGCCGTGCAGCAGCCGAGGCTTTCCCTACGATCCGGGTCCAAAGGGTCCCGCTTTCTCTGCCACCTCCAGAGCAAGTTTCAAGTTCTGGTCAAACAACTCACATCTGAAACAGTCAGAAAAGCAGAAAGGGGATGGCTTTACCTATGGAACAGGCTAATGAAGACAGGATCTCCACATTCTTTGGCTCTGCATCCTTCAAGGAGAGATTCCGTAAGTCAGGAGGTAGCAACTGGACTGCTGTCAGCCTTTGCTTGGCCGGTAAGTCCCAGTAAAGCTGCCCCTGTGGGCTGCGGGGTCACGTTAGGAGAGCAGGGACTGCGCCGAGGAAGAGTACCTCCTGCTTCCCCAGCAGAACTGTGCTGGACAAGGCACAGGTCAGTGTCCCCTCCCTGCAGCGGCTGCTTCCCTCTGGGTCTGCTCTACCGCTTCACTGAAGGACTGCAGGCGTTTCTTGGCTGTGCAGGGAGAAACTGAGGGGGGGCCGGGGCTGCGTTATTGAAACTGAGCTTTTTTTCCTTACCTGATTGGCATCTCCAGGGAGTAGAAAGGATTCTTCAGAGCGAAATCAGAGTAAATCTCGTAGATCTTGCGGAGAAGGGAGTCTATCCCTGCCTGCCTTGGGTCAGCAAGAACCACGAATTTGATCCCTGGGAGGCACAACGACAGGAGCGTGAGGAAAGCTGAGCCACAGCACAGCAGAACGGGGCCAGGTGCCCGGGGCCGGCTGGTACCTGTCAGCGTCTGGAAGCAGTGCAGCTTGAAGGTGTCGGTCTCCAGCATCTCGATCCCGGAGCTCCCCACCTCAGGGGACAGCTGCGAACCGATGGCGAAGAGCCTGCAGGGAGACGGTTCTCAGCGCCCCCCGCCACCCCCCTCCCGGAAACCCCCATCCCCTCGCCTCCTGCCCCGCCTCACGAGTGGAACATGGAGGCCAGCATCAGCTTCTCGTTGGAGGAGAGGCGGTGGCGGCCGAAGCGGATGGACACCGGGTAGTTGGCGGGGTTGGCCAGGAACTCCAGCACGTCCTTCCCGTCCGCCGTGAAGCGCCCGTTCACCTCGGGTCCCTTTATGGCCAGCACGGCGTGGCCCACTGCGGGGACAGCGAGAAGTCAGTCAGTCAGTGTGTCGGTGTCTGTCTGTCTGTCAGGCGGCCCGGCCCTCCCCGCCCGCCGCACCGCGGATGCCATCGCGCTGCCCGAAGGCGACGACGACGCGCTCGTCGTGCGGGCGCAGGACGAGGTCGAGGGGGAAGCTGAAGGTCTTCTCGGTGTCGGCGCGGGGCGCGTAGTGGTCCAGCTGGTAGATGAGGCCGCCCGCCTTGTTCACCACGTAGACGCTGAAGATCGCCATGGCGCCGCCGGCCCGGCCCGCCCTGACCCGCCCCGGAAGTGACGTCACGCCGTGCCCCGGAAGCCGCCCCTTGGGCCACGGGGCTTCCCTGCGCCTCGCGCCAGGCGCTTCCTTTCTCGGCCGACATCTTGGGGGAGCAGCCGCCGCCGCAGCATGGTGAGCGCCGGGACGGGCCGGGACGGGCGGCGGGGCCGGGGAGGGCGTCCCCGAGGGCGGAGGACTCCGAGGAGAGTCTGGGGGGGGCGTCCCCGTCTCCCGCCGCTGACCCTCCCGTCCTTCTCCCCTCTTTCCACCCCTGCAGCCGCCCAAAGACGACAAGAAGAAGAAGGACGCGGGCAAGTCCACCAAAAAGGACAAGGACCCCGTCAACAAGTCCGGCGGTAAAGCCAAGAAGAAGGTAGGAGCCGGCCCGGCTGGCGGCAGGCCCCGATCCCGCCCTGGAAGCGGGGCGCGGGGTGGCACTGTGGGGCTGGGCACCGCGGAGCCTCCCCCAGAGGCCGGGGAGGCTCCCCAGGCCTGGGGGGCGGGCGCGGGCGCGGGGGTGCTCCTTATGGTGTGGGGGGTGCATCGCGTTGGAGGGGCTCACTCTCCATCGGCCAGTGCATTGCACGTGAGGGGGTTAAATCCGAGTAGAAAAAGGCTTCTATCCTCCTTTTTTCGGAGATAGCACAGGTATTACCTGCAACGTGTGCATTTACAAAGACCATCTTGTGCGTTTCCAGTGCTCTGATGTGGGATGGGATACAGAGATACTGAAAAGTGCACTTTTTTTGCTCTATCTTTTGTTACTGCTTGGAAGATGGCTTAGTGGGGTGTTTTTTTCCTCCTTTTGAGTAGAAGTGGTCCAAGGGGAAAGTGAGAGACAAGTTGAACAACCTCGTCTTGTTCGACAAGGCCACCTATGACAAACTGTGCAAAGAAGTGCCCAACTACAAGCTCATCACGCCAGCGGTTGTCTCTGAGAGACTGAAGATCCGCGGTTCCCTGGCCAGGGCCGCCCTCCAGGAGCTGCTCAGCAAAGGTGAGCGCTCAAAACTGTGGAAAAGCAGAAAGCTGTTGCCTTCTTGGTCACTTAGGGTTTTTTTGCTGCATCTGAAGTACGGAAGCTGGTGTGTTTTTGATGCATTGCTGCCGTAGCTTGGGTTTCAGAAGGGCTCCAGTGGAAGGAGCAGAGGCTCCACTGCCTTCAGTGGTGTTGCTGTGCTAATAAAATGCTGCCAGAAGGACAGGTTGTGATATAACTACTGCCAGACCTGAACAAAAGCCTCGTATAAGCGCATGTAGTGTTGGGTGCTCCAGTAATTCCTATCACGTGCCGTCCAGTCTGTGCTTTGGGAGGCAGAGCAACATCCCCAGCGTCCTCCAGTATGCACACATTCAAATAATTGCCTTTTTGTTGTAGGTTTGATCAAGCTGGTGTCCAAGCACCGAGCCCAGGTGATCTACACCAGAAACACGAAGGGTGGAGACGCGCCTGCGGCCGGGGAGGACGCGTAGGGAGGTGAGACCTGGGGTTAGGCTTTGTCAGGGGTCAACAAAGGGATTCAGGCCGTTAACGGATGCTCCCTCCGGGCTCTGGATGTTATGCTCTGAGCGACGTCCTGCGTGGCATTACTGGAAACAGTGATTTTCCAAATTTTAAGAGCAATTTGTGATTTTTGTCTGTGTTGGTTGTGGGATGAGGAAAGCCATGTGTGCTTTCCTGCTCTGGGCCTGGGGGTCCCTGGGCAGCACCCCCCCTGCTGCCTGAGGGCACCGTGTTCTCTTGGAGCAGAGCTTTGGGAGCATTTGCTTTGACCCATTTGTCTGATTCGGGATTCCTTGTTTTGCAGGTTCTCCATTGACCTCAGCCATGTGTCATATGTAGATGCACACAATAAAATTATCAAAATGTTTCCCACTTTTACAAGAATGTGTATGTTTCATTATTTATGGGATCGGAGTGGATTCTGGATAGGTCACAGCTGTCCTTCTCCACCAGCCACTTTTTGCACTTAAACTGTCTTAAAAAAATGTACCGAGAGCGTGCTTTTATGTTGCAAAAAGGGGAGGAACTTTTGTATCACCTACAGCAGCCAGCAATGTTGAACTGTATTTGGTTCTAACAGGAGGAAAATGGAAGGCCACTTTCTGTGGTGCAGATAGAGAAGGTGCTAGTGGGGTATTTCCCCATGCTGTGCCCGCAGATCCCTGTGTGTACATGGCAGCAGCATCTCTCAGGTCAGAGTCTAGTGGGGAAGTGTAGAAAAGCAGCTCTAAATAAGGCTCCAAGTATTTTATTGAAATTAAAGGTAACAGCTGCCCACAGCAAAGGTCTTTAGGCCTTTCTTCTACTGAGGACTCATGAGTCACCCTTGAGGTGAGGCAGAACAAGCAAAAGTCACATAAATTAGAATGAAAACATCAAGCCTTGTCATCAGTAGCAGGCCCTGTGTCTGAAAGGAGCTGGTCTACTAAGGTAATAAAAGGTTTATTTCTCAAAAACTTATTTCTTTACTGGATGCCATGCTACATGTCAGCACAGAACACATCAGCACGTGCTTCTCGCTGTGGGCTCTGCCTTCGTGTAGCTTAAGAGTTCAGAAATCGGTGCCCCAAGTGTTGGGTACGGGGGGATCTGCTGCGACACCCCCAACATGGCTTTCCCCTGACAGTGCTGTGGTCCCTGCCTTCCAGCAGACCAGCACATCAGGATGGGTGTATTAAATAACAGCACAAAACATGGCGGTGGTGGCACTGACAAAGCTGCTGCTCTACAACCTCCCTTCCGCAGCAGCCGCAGCTCGGTTTCCTCGGTCCTCCTCTCCCCATCACCTGTTCTTCTTCTTTTCCCCTGACTCCGTTCTAAACTGATGCCTGAAAGAGAGTGTAGAAGTGAGAAAGCAGCGGCCTTCAGAGAGATAACGAGCGCTGCCCCATGTCACACGACAGTGCCGTATGCAGTGTTAGAGCAGAGCCTTGCACAGCGGCATTTCCCTGGTCTCCTGGTGAGCTCTCTCTGTAGCTGACACGTTTGCAACGTGTTATACACCACCAGCAGGACAAGCCACCCCCAGATCCCCTTCTGCAGGCAGCTCGGCTGGAGGGACACCCCACCAGGCACTGTCCGGCCGTGCCGAGCCTTACCGGGACTGCCAGCGCCTGCCGTGGTTCCAGACCCGCCCGAAGGAGGGCAGCCAGCTCTCGCCCGTCTGACAGGTATGGTCAAAGTTGGCTCCCACCCGCTCGGCTGGCAGCTTCTTCAGCTTCTGCTTCTCCTCTGGAAAAATGGTTTTGTTCAGTGGGATTGCCTTTGGCTCTTTAGTGCGGTGAGTGTAAGGGTAACGGAAACGTGCACAGCCCACTCACTTTGTTTGAGAAATTCCTCATACGAAGGTCCGATTTCTCGTGTATTCCCCTCCTCCTCTTCCTCCGTTAGCCACGGAGGTTTTGCTCCTGGAAGTTGTGGGGAGAAAGTATTTGGCCTGAGCTGGAGTTGGGGAAAAGCATCCCCTCTTCCCTGTCCCTGCAGCTCGCCCTGCCCAGTCAGTGGGAAAGGAAAAACAAACTCTGGGGTGTCAGCAAAATCAGCCGTACTGCTGTGGTTATGGCCGTGGGAGATCACACCCTGAACCCCACACAGCAGCACCAGCAGTTTTCATAACACAGAAGGGTTTTCTTCTCTAGTATGTCAAATATTAGCAAGAGTGAGCACCTCTTGGTTATGCTGTAACTGCTTTAAAGTTGCTTTACGTTATTCCCCCTCCATTTACATGCTGGGAGTTTTCGGTAGGGGAGGAACCGAGTGAGCCTGAAGCCGGCAGGATTACCTGTGTGCACGTTCCCTTTCCCTTCCATCTCCTGTGAAGAGAGGCAAAAAAACTGGTGAGAAACTGATGCTTTTAAGCCTGTCTCTGGACAGAATAGTGTGGTGTGTTCTGGTACAAAAGGGAGGCTCTTCTCTACTTTCTTCAAGGAGGGTTTGTTTTTTCAGGGTGTGTTAAAGAACATTTGCTTAACGAATCACAGGTTAGCACTGGAGGACTGAAACTCCCAGCTTGAATCTGCCCAGCTGCCGTTTTTGGCCACCAGAGACGGCAACCCCTTGTTTTGCACTGGGACACATGCCCCGTGTCACCCACAGTCAAGTTTAAATCACTCTTGTTAGTGAGTCACCCCTACCTGGTGGCCAATGAAGGTCAAAGCCTGGCCCGATTCCATCCAGTTTATGTCAGGTCCCGTCTGTGTCCCACTGGGGTTGGACTGCTCTGCATCCTGGGAGGCATCCCTGGAAGAAAGAGGGGATGATGCAGCCCTGAAGGTGAGTGAAGGCCACAGCCGGGCGGGCAGCAGAGGCTTGTGGAGCAGAGTTGATGTTTGTGTGTGGAGCTTTGCACTATGAAGGCAAAGGAGACGTGTTCTTGGGGTATGACCATGTTAAATGCTCATGTATTAATTGTTCTGGAGCTGCAGTGCTTAATAGAGTCTAGATAAAAGTCTGTGAAGAGTGTGAGCGAATGCCAGACCCCGGTGATGGCAGCACCGGCTGTGGCTCGGTCTGGTGGGGAAGGGGATGGGAAACAGCTCTCACCTTCCCGGTGCTGCGGGGGGGCTCCCGAGGGGGGATCCCATGCTGTGCTCCGGCTCCGTTTGATGCTGGTTCAGGAAAAAGCAGCGGTATTTCTGGTCCTGAGCAGAGCTTCCCCCTGCTCCCGGTGCCGGTTCTGGCGGGCAGGACCGGGCTCACCCACCTGCAGTGCATCCCGCACCGTCTCCCGCTGCCTGCGCTCGGCCTCCCGGATGCCGGCGGCCATCTGTGGGGAGAAGGAGCGGTGGGGCCGGTCCCGAGGGGGCGGTGGGGCCGGTCCCGGTGCGGGGCGGGGGGTACCTGCTGGATGCGCTCCTCCTCCTGCCGCCGGTGCTCCTCCAGCGCCCGCTCCAGGCCCCGGGCGAACAGCTCGTACTCCTCGGCCGGTACCAGCACCTGCTGCCGCAGCGCCGCCTCTGCCCGCTGCTCCCGCCAGAACCGCGCCGTCTCCCGGCGGTGCTCGGGCCTACGGGGCACCCATCAGTGGCCCTCTCGCTCCCGCTGGCCCTGTCGCCCCGATACCGGCCTAGGCCGCACCCCCGCCCCGGTTCTCTCCCAGGCCGCACCCCCGCCCCGGTACGGGCCTAGGCCTCACCTCCTCCTCGGTACCGGCCCAGGCCGCACCCCCGCCCC